ACTGGAATCAACCTAAGTGTCCATCAACAGATAAATGGATAAAGAAAATGTGATATATATTATTCAGGATAAAAGAAAAAGAACGAAACCCTGACATTTGTGATACTATGAATGGATCTTGAGAGCGTTATGGTAAGTGAAATAAGTCAGATAGAGAAAGACAAACACTGTATGATCTCTCTTATATTTGAATTCTAAAATCACTGGACTAATAGAAACAGAGAGTATAATGGTGGTTGCCAGGGGCTGGGAAGTGGAGAAATAGAGAGGTGTTGGTCAAAGGGCACAGACTCTCAGTTATAAGGTGAATACTTTGTGGGGATCTAATGTACAGCAGGATGACTATAATTAATAATACTGTATTATATATTTGAAAGTTGCCATGAGAGTAGAGATTTAATATTCTTACCATAACCACCACCACCAACAACAAAATGGCAATAAGGTAAGGCAGAGGATGTGTAAACTAAATTTGTTGTGGTAAACATTTTACAATATATAATGCATATCAAATCATCACATTGCACACCTTAACTTACTATTGTTATATGTCAAATATATCTCAATAAAGTTAGGGGAATGCAGGATATTGAAATTTGTGGGATATGGCAAAAATAGTTTAGCAGGAAACTTAATGTTTAAAATGTTTATATTACAACAGAATAAAAAAAATTAATTATCTAATTTTCTGCTTTAAGAAGCTAAATAATAGAGATAAATCTAAGAAAGTAGAAGGAAGGAAATAATAAATGATGGAATTTAAGTAGAAGAAAATAAAAGACATTTGGAAATACCAATAAATTGATAAATCTCTAGGTAGAGTGATGAATTATAAAGAGAACAAAGTTATAAAAATTGGGAATGAAGGCATGTCTAGCGAAACAAATACTACAAACATTAAAATGATAAAAAAGGAATATTATGATTAAATTTATGCCAACTTACCAAAATAAACACAAGGACAAATAGAAAATATTAATAGTACTATATCTATTAAGCAAAATATAATAATAATTTAAAAAACTTTCCCAAATAAGAAAATTTAGGCCCAAATGACTTCTTTAATTAATGCTATCACATATTTAGGGAAGGATTAACACCAATTTTATGCAAAGTCTTAAAGAAAATTCAGAAGATGGAATCACTTCTCACTCCTGTTATGAGGTCAGAATAATCCTGATACCAAACTTGACAAGGATATATTTTTTAAAAAATAGAAGTTAGTAGTCCTGAACGTAGATGCAAAAATTCTTTATATTAGCAAGTCAAATAAACCAACATATAAAAATAATAATACATTATGAATAAGTAGGGGTTTATCCCAGGAATACAAGATTTATTTAACATTCAAGATTTATTCAATGTAAATCACTATGTTAGCAAAATAAAGAAGAGATACAATCATCACAATAAATACAGAAAAAGGTTTTAATAAAATTCAACCCCCATTAATGATAAAAATTCTCAGCATACTAGAAATAAAAATAATCTTTCTTAATCTGACAAAGGAGATCTACAGGAGAGTAACATTATATTAGGTATGCAACTATATTATATAAATATAGCTAACATTATATTTAATGATTAAATAGTGAATGTTCTTCCCCTAAACTCAGGACTGAGGCAAGGATGCATACTTCCAATGAATCTTTTACTGAAGATCACAGCCAATGATATAAGTCAAATAAAAATAAATAAAGGGCATAAAGATTGGATAGGAAGATGTAAAATTGCCTTTATTTGTTGATGACACAATTGTTTTAAGTCTAACATTTTGAAGAACCTACAAACCACTATTAGAACTAATAAATTAATTTAGAAAAGTAACAAGACACATGGTAAATATACAAAAATTCAATTATATTTTATATACTAGCAGCAAATAATTGAAAAGTAAAATTTAAAAATTCATAATCAATAACATTATATTGTATTAAATTCTTAGGACAGTTTTACCAAGAGACATGTAAGAACTCTACACTAAAAGCTATAAAGCACTGTTGAGAGAAATTAAAGATGTAAATAAATGAAGAGATATATCATATCCATAGATTGTCAGACTGAGTATTTTTAAGAAGTCAGTTCTCCTCAAATTGACAACTATATTCAATAGGATTAGAATTTTAACAGGTCTTTAAAAAAAAAAAACACAAATTGATCCCAAATTTGTGAATTCAGATAAGGAAAAACAATTTTTTTGGGGGAAAAAAAGTAAATTTAGAAGACTCACCCTATTTGGTTTCAATATTTACCATTAATCTATAGTAATCATGAAAGTGAGATTTTGTTGAAAAGAGAGACAAATATATCAATGGAACACAATGTAGAGGCCAGAAAGAGATTCATAATATATAGTCCTATAATTTTTGACAAAGGTGTCAAATCAATTCAATAAGGGAGATAAATCTTCAAAAATGGTATTGGAATAACTGGATAGACACATGGAAAAATACAGTTCAACCCTACTTAACATTAGATACAAAAGTGAATTAAAAATGAATTATAGTCCTAAATATAACAGTGAAAACTATTACAGTTCCAAAGGAAATCACACGAAGATGGATTTAAGAATGTTTATAAAAACTTCATAATAGCCCTACACTGTAAGCAATGCAAACATTCATTATAATGAGTAGATAAACAAGTGTGACTCACATACTGTTAAAGATGTGCCTCAAAAACATTATGTTGAGTGAAGGTTGCAAAAACAAAAGTATTTACTATATGATTCCCTACAAGAACAGGCAGAACTAATCTATGGAAAGAAATCAGAATAGTGGTCGCCCTTAGTGGCAGGTAGTGATTGACCAGAAGAGGGATTCTGGAATTTTCTGTGCTATGGGGTTTTTGTTACATGCATACATGTATTATCAAATCTCACCAAGTCATACATTTAACATCTGTGCATTTTGCTATATGTAAATTTTATCTAAAAATGAAAAAAAAAAGGTATAAACAGCTCTGGCCCATTTGGCTCAGTGTTTAGAGCATCAGCCAGCAGACCAGAGAGTCTGGGGTTCAGTTCCTGTCAAGGGCACGTACCTCGACTGTGGTTTGTTTCCCAACCCTGGTCAGGGTCGTGGGAGAGGCAGCCAATTGATGTTTCTCTCTCTCTTTTTTTTTCTTTTTCTACTCCTCCCTCTCACTCTATCTGAAAATAAATGGAAAAATATCCTTGGGTAAGGATTTAAAAAGTGCTGTAACCAATATTGAACTTTAGTTAGTCGTTTTGCCCTTTGCAGCGTTGTAAGATAGCAGTTCTGAAACTACTTTTCTGTATTCTGGTTGTCAGCAAATAGGCAAATATATTGAGCATAAATGGAAGCTATTTCTCATGATTAAATAAAGAAATTAAAATATTTAACAAGGGAAGACTAAAGCAAATCACATATAATTGGGTTGAAACTAGAGGTATCAGTATGGGGTGGGGGGAAGAGGAGAGAAAAATTGAGCAACTTGTAACTAATGGGTAAATGTGGGTGAAAGGTATACAAGAATTCTTGCAACTTTTCTATATATTTGGAATTGTATCAAAACATAATGTTAAGCATAAAGCTATGGAGAGCAGTAAAATGTCATGGAGACCTATCCAGAGAGAACTTATGCAAAAGAAGGAAAACATAATGAGTGTCCTCTAATTTTTTCCCTTTATGATCATATTCCTCCAAGTATTCCAAGGGGATGTGGAATTAAAAGGGTTACATCATTCAAGCCTAGACAAATGCATCTAGAACAGAGGTCCTCAACATTGGCTGCACCCTGGAATCACCTGGGGAGCTTTACAATGGTGCCCAGAGATTCTATTTCAGTGAACTAGTATGTCACCTGGGCGTTGAGATTTTACAAAGCTTCCCAGGAGATGTTACTGTGCAGCCAAGGGTAGGAGTCCCTGCCTTTAAGGGAAATGTAGGGCAACGTTGGTGTCCACCAAGGAAAGATGAAATTGCAATGTGTAGTCATTGGAGGTGGTGAGAGGCTGCATATGGCAAACCAAGAGGCGGAACTGGATTTATCAAGGCCAGGTGCCCGAGACAAGGAAGGAGTCCGGTAGCACTGCCCACAGCTAGCAGAAGGAGGAGCTGCTGTGGATGTCCTGCTATGCCTGTGAAGTCTGTCAAGACCTTTTCCTCTACTGAGCCTTCTAGAGTCTGCTTTGAGGAAAGCTTTGCTGGCTAGGTTCCTGTGTGGGCAGACAGAGAATGTTCAACTGTTACAAACATACCTTTGAGCTAGGCTATTTCGGCAGGTTCCCCAACTAGACTGACCAGTGTTTGGTACCAGGCAAAGTAGTGTCTTCAAGAGCCAATGGAGCAGAGCTAGAGGCACACACAGGTACTGGTGTCCAGGGCGGCCGGAGTAAATGTCTGCCTCCCCACCCACCCCCATCCTCACCGCCCCCACTGCACAGCAAGTTGAATACACATTTCTGAGTCAACGTATTTTCAGACAAATGACCCCTATCCTCTGGTTCCTGTAGGCGTTTTAATGAAGTACCTCTTGAAGAAGAAGTAGTGACACAATTGTTCTTCCAAGTTTGTCTTTTCAAATCTTCTGTTTCCATGAAAACTGTAGAGTTTGAGGAGGATTCTGTAATTGCCACAGTGGTGAATATTTTCAAACATCATGCCAACACCTGCTGTAAGAAATGGGTTTAGCAGTCACGGACAGAGCCAAACAAGTTATCTTGGGATTTAGCTCTTGTTCCAGAAGACTGATTCCTCATGGGTTGGCACATAGCAAGCACTGCTAAGCTATAGCATACAAAGCATTTCCACTGAGTACCTCACCCTTCTATCTTGTTCGTTTTATCAAAACAAACCTAGGGCACAAAGGTCATTCTACTCGCCCAGGCTGTATGTGGAGCTTTATTGTTTTATCCTTCTACGGGTGAGTCCATTGATGTAGAGTGGAGAGACTCTCAGTTACGGTTTGCAGAAGGACTTGCAATAGGCTTCTGAACAATCAGAGATATGTTCATGAAGAACCCATTTCATGTCCATTCAACATTGATCTGCTGTCCTGGGATCTGCCTTGTGGTCTGCCTTTCCCTTTAGGCGGCTCTGCACCCACAGTAGGATGCTGTCCACAGCTCTCCTCAGCTTGGCATTGCCTGAGATCAGGAGGGCTGCATGGACCGAGGGACAAGCTGCCATTATCCCCACACAGACCATGACCCCGAGCTTGTTGTGCCACAGCACCAGTAAAGGTACCGAGAGGAGGGCAGCGCAAAATGACACCACAAAGAGGCAGAGAAAGGAGATGAGGGATTTGAGAGCTCTGATGTGGGCCTCCAGGCTGGGGTCACGAGAGTCCCTGGTCTTGGCCCTCATTGTCCTCATGTGGCGCCCCAGCGAGGCAATCAACACTCCAGAAGAAACCAGAAAGCACAGGAAAGGGGGGATGGACCCCAGGCTGCAGAAAAGGAAGGAATGAAACAAGTTGAGGTTGGCAAAGTGCAAATTGAGCTCTGTGTTGTTGTTCATGACGAGCGCCGTTGCGACTGGGAAGTGAGACCTATTGAAGAAGTCCCAAGAACAGATGACAGTGCAGACACTGGTGAGAAGGACGGTACTCAGAAGCATCCGGGAGAACTTCCTGGAGATCCACCTGGCCAAGCAGAGCAGGAAGGCCTGAGAGAAGTGGACGATCTTGGAGCAGTAGAGGAGGCTGAGGCAGGTGATGAGCCAGAGGCTGGCTTGGTTCGTGATCATCCAGAGCATGAGGATGGTTTGGTAGCTGGCGCTCAGCGGGTCTTTCATCCGCTGGAAGTGGGTGAGCTGGATGGCATCCAGAAACAGCAGCCCATGCAGGAAAAGTCGGGTGAGGCTGAGACTCAGCAGGACAAGATCACAGGTGCTCAGGGGCTGTCTCCTCACCATGTCCCGAAAATTCACCGAGGAAATGAAGACATTGACCAGAATCCCCACTGCAAACTCCAGGACTGAAAGGAACAGAAACACAGTCTTGCCTTCAGAGGGCACCGTTATGGTGGGAATCAGAGTCAACATGATGTCTCTTCTTACTTGGCCAACCTAAGACTCACATACCGCCCAGCAGAGAAGAGTAAGTGTACGCTCTACGCCAGGACCTGTCTTTCACAAGGCATTTGGCTCTTGTCCTAGATCGATGCCAAAGTGAGTTCATAGAAAGTCCTGGCAGGAAACTTAGAGGTTGTGTTGTTGTTTTAGAATATCTCTTGGATGTACAGAAAGGCTCATCGTAAGAGTTGAAGAATGATGGTTGTATCTCTTGGGTGATGCAGAAGCGTTTGAAGAAACCGTGGTGTTTCTGTGTAACAGCCTCCCTAGGGAGCCATGGCCCAGCATCACCGATGCAAACAAGACGGTCTCAAATACCCAAGCCCAGTTTTGCATGCCCATCTAGATCTGCATGGGTGGAGAAGACAGGAGGATTTGCTTATGAGTTTTAAGGGAACCAGCAGTAGGCAAAACATATTTCTTGATGAGCTGTGGTTTGAAATGGTGTCACTTTCCATTTACATGCTTTCACTCATGTCTGCGAAATGACTGTCAGCAGAGACTTTGTTTTTAACATGGACAAGTGCATGATTCCTTCTGGGGCACCAGTGTGTGATTGGTATGACTGCCATTGTCAGAGATTTCATTCAGGCATCATTGTTACGCCAGGCATTGTGCTTGGTATGAACAAGACCAGCACCTTGTCATGCAGGGAGAGAGTAGGGGGACATCTGGCTTGGATTGTTCGCTCTGCTTCCCAGCCCCCTCCCTGACCCCATTGCCACAAGGCGACAATAGTGATCCTGTGAAAATACAGCGAAGATCGTGCCATTGCTCCGTTCAAACCTTTCAGGGCCTCCCATCTTCCTAATCATAAAAGCTAAGTCCTGCCCTGGCTGGTTTTGCTCAGCAGTTAGTGCATCGGCCTGCAGACCAGAGAGGCCTGGGTTCGGTTCCCGCTAAGGGCACGTACCTCGGTTGCAGTTTGTCCTTGGCCCTGGTTGGGGTCGAGTGGGTGGCGACCACTCAATGTGTCTCTCTCACATTGATATTTCTCTCTCTTCCTCCCTCTCTCCCTCCTGCTATGTCTGAAGATAAATGCAAAAATGTCCTTGGGTGAGGATAAAAAGAAAAAAGTTAAGTCCTTACAGTGGCCCATAGGTCCCATGTACATCATCACTCTGTCTCTTCTCAGATGTTATCTGTGGTCCTTGCTTCATCCTTCATGCTCCGTTAGCTATCAGGAACCCGCCCACCTCTGGACCATTCATTTCCGCTGAATGATTTCCCTCCACATGCCCCAGTGTCTCATTTTCTTCTCAAAAGGTCTCCTCAAATGTCACCTTATCAGAGAGAACTTCCCTGAACACCTTATGAATGGTATTCCTTACTCACAACTTGGGTGCCTCCTATTATACTTCACCTGCTGTATATTTCTGTGTACATTCAATTATTTATTGCCTAAACCCACCCCCACTAAAAAAATGTAAGCTTCATGAAAGCATAGAGCAGGTACTCAGTAAGTATATTAAATGAATGACATTCTCACAAATAAAGCATCTGTAGTCTACATTCTCAAGGATTACATGTAGGACATTTGATTATTCCTGAGGATATGATATGATATGATATGATATATTATTTATTATATTATATTGGCTGTGATTTCTGAAGTCTAGCTTTCTTCCTTTTGAAATGTTTCCAAATACTTGGTGAGCTCTGTCTTTCCAGCATCTTGAATTCTCCTCAATCCCTCAAGGACTATGGACTGATTTCACGTTTACCTTGGCAAGCTCTGGAAAAAAATCTGGTGAGTTACTCAACAGAGACTGGAGAGCTGATCATTTGGAGACTGAAAGTTGTTTTATAACATTTCTCCCTGACCTGGTGTTGCTTTTTTACTCTTACAAATATCTTAACCCTTCCAGTTCTTTTTTTTTTTTTTTTAATCTTCACTTGAGGATACTTTTTTCCACTTTTTAAATCTTTAGTTAGAGCAAGGGGGAGGGAGGAAGAGAGAGAGAGAGAGAGAGAGAGAGAGAGAGAGAGAAACATCGATGTGAGAGAGACACATCCACTGGCTGTCTTCCTCACAACCCCAACCAGGGCTGGGACCAAGCCGCAACTGAGGTACATTCCCTGGACCAGAGTTGAACCCACGACTCTTCGGTCTGTGGGCTGACACTCTAACTGCTGAGCCAAGTCCACCAGGGCTTCATGTTTACTTTTAACTAAAGCGCCTTACTTTTATTTATAAGTAATGTGACATAAATCAGTAATTACTAAAAATGTTTGCTCCTGTGTTATTATGAACTATTTATATATAGATATTTACACAGTCTTTCATTGTACATAATCACATAGCATTGAAATTGCTTTTAATTCATCAGATTTGTGGCCAGCTCGTTGGCTATGGTTATTCATTGCATTATTCATCAGAAGATATCTTACAGAAAATATGTAAGTCTATTATATGTTATTGAACCAGTAGTGCCAATATTGAACTTCATATACTCTTCTGGACTTAACCAATACAGTTTTATACCTTTTTTCAAAAATAGGAATTGAATGTCCTGACTTGTCTTATGACACTGAAGTTTGATGGCTTAGCAGTGGTTAAATTTTACTGAGATATATATATTTTTTATTAATTTGTTTTTGTTACAGATATTTCTCCTTTTCCCCCCATTGACACCCCCCCTTCCCGCCTCATCCCCAGCTTTGTTGTCTATGTCCATTGGTCATTCATTCTTTTAGATGGCCAAACATTGAGACAGAGTTCTGTGCTTCCAACCCAAGCTTGTTTTCCCTTTCTCTTCAGCACGCCAGGGGGCAGTATTGCACCAAAGGTGTTTATGAAAGTGGTTTGATTTCCTAAGGAATCCAGAGGAAAACACTTGCTCCGTTGCACAAGCAGAGATATATAAACACAGTGATAGTCACTTACATCAGGATTATAACCTTTTATATCAAGAATCAGTAAAATCGTTGATATAAGTAATTTTTTGTGAGTGTCAAATCCCACCATGATGTTTCAAAACTCAATAGTAAAAAATCCCTCATAGGTACCCCCTTCCATTTAATTTATGTATATATGGTGTTTGGGGTTATATAAAAAAATTTGTGTGGCCCTGGCCAGTTTGGCTCAGTTGTTAGAGCGTTGGCCTGTGGACCAAGGAGTTGTGGGTTTAAATTTGGTCAGGGGCATGTGCCTTGGTTGTGGTTGGTCCCTGGCCCTGGTTGGGGTTGTGTGGGAGGCAACCAATCGATGTGTCTCTCTCACATCAATGTTTCTCTCTCTCTCTCTCTCTCTCTCTCTCTCTCTCTCTCTCTCTCTCCCTCCCTCCCACTCTGTCTGAAAATAAGTGGAAAAATATCCTTGGGTGAGGATTTAAAAAAAAAAAATCTGTGTGGATAGTCTTTACCATCTGCCTGTTTTTTGGAAATTTGTCCACTTGGGGAGCTCAGAACAGCTAAATTAATTGCAAAGCTAAGAGCAGTGGCAGGAACAGAAACCTCATCAGACGTGATAAAAAGTTGTAGTCACTTGATTTTTGCCAACAGATGTTAAAAATATGTGCGTAAAATATATGTGTTTGGACTTCTGCTGCTGTTTATTTTGTGGATGTTGGAATTGAATTCTTTGGACTGTTTTAAAAAAAAAATTCTATTGCTATTGGTTAGCTTGACACACAAAGACTGTTCCTAGTGATGGGTCAAACCTTGTTCCTTTAGGACGCCTTGCTTAAATGTTTCCCACGCCTTGCTTAAATAAATGGATTATTTATTTAATAAATGGATATATTAGGTAACATTAAGAAACAATGTATTTCAGAGGTTGTGATGGGCACTGAAGACACACTGGTAAACAAAGGTTATTAGAGGAACTGGAAGAGCACATGGTGTAGTACGTATCTCAAAGTGAGGCGCAGAGGGGGAGCTGCCCAGAGATACCACCTCACCCCCGATAGAGTGGCTGTTATCAAAAAGACAATGGCAATCCAGTGTTGGGGAGGATGTGGAGAAAAGAGTCCAGGAATTCCCCAATCCTGTCTGCCAATCTCTCCTCTTACCCAGAAGATCAGCAGCGAAATGGAGCGTAGGGTATGATTTTATGAAAAGCTAAACCAGCTCCCAAACCAGTGGGGTTGGGACACGCAGTGGACCTAGGCAGAGTCTACCCATCCAGCTTGCCATTCTGGTCGTGGTAGATGTTGGGAGTTGCCCACACAATATCAACTCTCCCCTTCTCGCTACCCACAGAACTCTGCGCTGTTCAGTAGGTCCGTTTTCCCAGCTCAAGCTGAACACATTTCTTATTATTCCTTCAGATCAGAGCGGCCAATGAGATGCAAGAAGCTACCGGATGGATTTGTTAGAAAGCCCTCATGCCTTTTCTGTGCCTGAACTCAGATGTTACGCTGAAGCTTCCCCCAGGAGGGAAAACCGAGAGAATCTCCAAGCCCTCGCCGTTGTCTGAGTACTTGAAACCACACCAGCAGCTCTGCTCCAGCCTTCTCATTATGTGGGAAAGGTAATCTCCTTATGTCTTCAAGTCACAGTGTTTGGGCCACTATTCCTGGAAGCTGGATGCAGTCGCTAACTGAGAACTTGCTGGTAAGAAGGTCCCATCTAGGCATGTGGCTCCAGGAAGCAGGATGGAGGGAAGGTCAGCCTTGTCCTTGTCCTTGTCTAGGCTTGCTTGTCACAAAGAGGCAGGAAACAGAAAATGCAAGAGAGGAAACAAAAGGAAGGTTGTACATTTCTTCATATGTCTTTAGCCATTTGTATGTCCTGTTTGGAGGGGTGTCTCTTTAGTTCCTCTGCCCACTTTTTAATTAGGTTCTTTGTTTTCCTTTTGTTGAGTTGTATGAGCACTTTATATATATATTGAAAATTAACCCCTTATCTGATATATCATTGGTAATTATGCTCTCCCATACAGTGGGTTGCCTTTCCATTTTGATGATTATATCTTTTGCTCTGCAGAAGCTTTTTAATTTGATGTAGTCCCATGTGTTCATTTTTTCCTTTGTTTCTGTTGCCTTAGGTGATGTATCAGTGAAAATTCTGCTGCGTATGATGTCTGAAGTTTTGTTGCCTACAGTTTCCTCTAGAATTTTTCAACATCACTAATTATCAGAGAGATGCAAATTAAAACAACAATGAGGTATCACCTCACACCTGTCAGAATATCCGCCATCAACAAATCATCAAACAATAGGTGCTGGCGAGGGTGTGGAGAAAAGGAGACTCTAGTACACTGCTGGTGGGAATGCAGACTGGTGCAGTCACTATGGAAAACAATATGGTGTTACCTCAAAAAATTAAAAATTGAATTTCTATTTGACCCACTGATCCCACTTCTAGGAATATACCCTAAGAAGCCTGAAACACCAATCAGAAAGAATATATGTACCCCCATGTTCGTAGCAGCACTATTTACAATAGCTAAGATCTGGAAACAGCCCAAATGTCCATCAGTTGATGAATGGATAAAAAAGCAGTGGTACATATACACAATGGAGTAGTATGCAGCTGTAAGAAGAAAGATCTCTTATCCTTTGAGACATGGAGGGACCTGGAAAGTATCATCCTAAGTAAATCAAGCCAAACAGAGAAAGACAATATGATCTCACTTATTTGTGGAATATAATGAACATAACAGTCTGAGGAATGGGGTAGTCCCAGAGACGTGGAAGTGGGGTACAGACTAACAATCCCCAGATGAGGGGGTGGTGGGGGAGAGATAAACCACAGAACTTACATGCATGTATGCATGAACAATGGACATGGACAACCAAGCTGGGGAGAGGGCAGAGAGGGAGGGGAGGAGGGAATCAGTGGAGGGGGGGGAAGGAGAAACATCTGTAACAAAAATTAATATAAATAAATAAATAAATAAAAAAAAAGGAAGGTTGTCTCTGCTTCCTGTATTTTCGTTTTTTTAAATTCTCACCTGAGGATATTTTTCCATTTGTCTTCAGACAGAGTGGGAGGGAGAAACAGAGAGAGAGAGAGAGAGCGAGAGAGAGAGAGAGAGAAACATCGATGTGAGACACATCAACTGGTTGCCTCCTGCACGACCCAACCTGGGCTGAAATTGAACCCAAAACTCCTTGGTCCGAGGGCCAATGCTCTAACAGCTGAGCCAAACTGGCAAGGGCTGCTTCTTGTATTTTAAAGCACATTTTGTCCACTCATAATAGTCAAAAGGAGCTGAACTGAGTGGTACTCACATGGGGAATGGGGTTAAAGATGGTCTCACATAACTCTTCTTTCTCTCTATCTTTAGATTTTGCTGTTGCTACTAATTGATCCTGCTAATTAATCAATGACTAACTAATCTCCCGTGTCCTACATTCAGAAAGAGAATCCAAGTCACCTAGGGGTCACAAAGCAAGCTGCTTTGTAAGATGCAGGCCAAGGTACGGACTGGCTGTCTTTGCCTTCCGTGCCATCCCTGGTCCAGTCAGCTTTGGTACCGACATGGAATCCTGGGATTAGGGTCATCCATAGGATCACTTTCCTCAGCAGGGACCTGTAGGTCAAGATTCCTCTAGAGGGGGTCCTGGGCCCCTTTTACACTTCTTTGTATCCACTAACATGAATTAGGGAAGAGGAGGTTTTTGGTAAAAGCTGATAGAGCTGTAGGACATTGGACAATAACCTGTCCTGTTCTGTTTTCTCTAACGTAAAAATGCAAGAGAACATTGTGCAGGACTGGCCCTTTTAGGGGTCTCTGTCACACAGTGCAGGCATGGTGACCCACAGAGCAGGACAGACAGAGGCTATGCTGGGGAGAGAGGCCGAGCCACAGAAGAGAGCAACCATGATACAGCCTATGCATGGCTGCAAGACATTGTCAGTGCTTGAAGACATTTTTCATGGTGTCCCTTTCACATTTCCCCCCCTGGGGTGGGGGGCCGGGGAGAAGCATACTTACCAGGGGCTCAGCACAGGAAAATTTGTGTCAAATTTAGTGTTTTGTGTTGAGAAATCATGCAAATGTGCACAGGATGACATTATACTGCCACATTTCTTGTCATTCAAAATATTGATCCGATCACTTACTCTTTTCCAATGATCTTTGGTTTAAATCGAACTCCTAAGATGTGTTAGGTGCCTCTCATTATGCCACCATATCGCCCCAGGTTACATGTGTCCTGACCTAAAATGTACAATTCTACGGGGGTGCCTAACACTTTGGAGAGACTTTATGGGGATTTGAATGTCCTACAATTGCAAGTCATTGTAAAAGGCAGCAAAACAAAGATCACAGGAGGATGTGCATTGCTTGCAGGTGCTACTGGAGTGGTTGGAGATTTTTGGTGAAGATACTTCCACTGAACAAAGGGAGACGATGAGAGCCTATCAGAGCATGGGCCATTTGGTTGCTAGGTAGAGAAACTCATAGAAACTGATAGTAAAGATGATGATGGTGATGATGATGGTGGTGGTGGTGGTGGTGGTTACTAGTAGAAGTGGTGGTGGTAGTGATAGCAGAAGTAACATTTTGGTCAAGAAGCAGGAATTTCAAGAGTTACATGAAATTCAGTTGTACCCTGGCCTTCCCAGGAATAGGAAAAGTACGGACAGGCAGGCTTTCTGCTTTTCCTCCTTTGGGTTTGAAAGCTCTCTTATTTCTGCTACTTTCCACATGTCTATTTCATTCTCTTTTGGGGAAACAAGCATTTTCACTAAAATTCTTTAATTCCTGCCTCTCAATACTGTGACGCGATCCCACCGACTTAGCGTCCAATGCAACACAATTCAGACTCTTTGTCCCAAATTCTAATTTCTGGGAGGGAGAATCCAGTTGGACTAGGCTGGAGAAACTGTCCAGTGCTGGTCCAGTCCTCTGTGACCAGTGGGTCAGGGTTACAGGAGTGGGCAGGTGTTCTCTGGGCATTGCAGAGGGGACCATGGTGGGGGTATGATGGGAAGCTCTAGTGTAAGAGTTGGGCTTAAGCCCGGCCGGTGTGGCTAACTGGTTGAGTGTCAACCCATGCAACAAGGGGTCACAGGCTCCATGCCCAGGTTGTGGGCCTGGTCCCAGTGGGGAGCATATAGGAGGTGGCCAATGTTTCTATCTCTTTCTCCCTCTCCCTTCCTATCTAAAATAAATAAAGAAAAAGTAAAAACATACACACACAAAACATTTTTTAAAACAAGAGTTGGGCTTAAAGAGTAGTAACCATCTGTGAGCTGAGGATGGTAGAATTTGATAACTGATAGGATCAGAAGGTTTCCACTTTGGGAGACATAGTGGAGGTATGTCTTTGAATTTCTTTTTTTTTTTTTTTTTTTTTTTTATCCTCACCCGAGGACATTTTTCGATATTTTGTTCAGAAAGAGTGAGAGGGAGAGAGAGAGAGAGAGAAACATCGATGTGAAAGCGACACATCGAGTGGTTGCCACCCACACGACCCAACCAGGGCTGGGGACAAACTGCAACCAAGGTACGTGCCCTTAGCGGGAACCGAACCCGGGTCTCTCCAGACCACAGGCCGATGCTCTAACCGCTGAGCCAAACCGGCCAGGGCAGTCTTTGAATTTCTTAATGAATAAGTAAATATTTCATCCGAAAAAGAAATTTTCTGGACTTACTGACTTCAGACTGCATGTGCATTGGGTTACTAGATTGAAATTAAATCAGTATAGGTTTGACTCTGTCGTTACCTTTAGCAAATCATTTTTCTCAGTCTCTGTTTCCTTGTTTATACACGGGGATTAAAAAAAACCTGCTCTGTCACATAGGGTTGTGATTAAAGAGCTGACGTAGATTAAGAAGCTCTGAAAACTGCAAGGTGTTCTATACATGCTGAGTTTTATTACTACCATGTGAATGCCAGGCAGTGCATTATCTCTAACAACTCTTTGGATTCCACCTGTGTGTCCACGTGTCTCTGTCCGTGGTGGGAAGAGGCAGGGAAAGATGGAAGGCAGTGTACAACTGCTGAGCCATAAATATTTCACAAGAGAAGGAAATGTTGTCATGATCAGTATAAGTAGTTTGGACTCCATCCTTCCTCTGGACAGTTCTGGGCAGAGAAATTGCTTCTGCCCCAAAAAACTCCCTTTCTCCCTTTCCAGGTAGCCTCTGATGTGAAGGGCGTACATTTGGAACCAAAGAAGGAGAACCAACTTGGCTGCAATAAAAAGAAAGAGGTACAATGTGAAGTTTGTAGACTCTGGAGACTATTAGAGGTGATTTTGACAGGAAGGAGTATAGCTGGTGTGTGTGTGTGTGTGTGTGTGTGTGTGTGTGCATGTGTGTGTGGTGTGTTTGTGTGTGTGTGTGTGTGAGAGAGAGAGAGAGAGAGAGAGAGAGAGAGAGAGAGAGAGAAGAGAGAGATGAGAGAGATGGAGAGAGGGAGAAAGCTAAAGAGCCATGTAGAACTAAGTGATGGGCTAGGCCTGGCTTTCCTCCAATGGCCGGTGGAATAGGTTCAAGGGTAAGGAGAACTGATACTCTCTGCTTATCTATCAGTTGTCCATGGATGAAAGAGACTACCTTCTCCAGCCCAAGCTAGTGAGGCTGTTTTTGGGAGTTGATGAACTGGAGAAAGACTTGTTAACAGAAGTTAAGCTAATGACGTTGCATACTGGATTTCGTTTGACGTTGGCAAAAGGCAGGTTGGGAAAGGACTGGGAAACTGACTGTGATGAGCAGATGATCATTTCTAATACGCAGAGGAAGCAGCTAGCTCCAGGAAATGTTTGTGACTGCCCAGGGCCTGTAGCACGTGCCCAGAGGCCTTGATGGCGATGTTCAGGCGAGTGTGATTTCAAACCCCAGGCGCTGTTTCACAACACCACATGGGGCACTACTAACTCACCTTCTGGAAATCTGGCAGCAAAACACTCTGCAAGAAATGCTTTATCTTGATTTCAATGTTCAAGTCAGCTGTTTCAGGTTAATAGACTTCTAGGGATACTTTCAGAGTCGTCACACCCACTCACAGACAGATGGGTGTCTTATTTTTTTCTAAGGATTTTATTCAGTGCCAGGAGAAATAACACAGACTGTCCCTTCTTGGCCCACTTAGGCAGAATAGGCTCCTCAACTGGTCCGACTTTGGGAGAGTTGGGGAACCTCCCTCCAGCCAGCAGGCACTTAAATATCTGGCACTCTTCTGAGCACTGGGGTAATCCACCTATGAAACAGAACAGTATCTTCTGGAATGCACTATCCTTCCAGTAGTTCAGAAAAGGAGAAACATCAACACGAACTGAGTGGAGACATGTCATGACAGAGCGAGTCTTCAACTTGGCTTTGTACTAGGAAAGGGGTTTGCCTAGGAAGACGGGGGACAAGGGGTCAAGGGTGCCCTTCAGCCAATCTGTAGGAGCAGCCATGAACCGGGTTGACTGATGACTAGTGAAAAAAATATTGGAATAGTAGAGTCAAGAATGATACAGAGGGCCTTAAAGAGAGAAAGAAGAGCGTGAGCTTGACCCTGAAGAATAGACCAGGGCTATTTTGGGTCTTCGAGCAGGAGGCCAAATAAAGTGTTGCTTAGAGAAGGTTGGCACAGGGAGGGATGGGTGTCCTCACTCGGTGTTGGCAATGGATTTGCTGGTCTTTGGGCTTCAGGGAAGACCTGTGGCGGATCTCAGGGAATGGAGTTCCATTCGTTTGTGTCACTCCTGATACACACATGTTCTGTTTGGACGGTAGGGAGGGAGAAGTCAGATTCTGATGGAAGACTCAAAGAGAGAGTTACTCTAGCATGTGAAGTCCTCCCCAGAGCACTCAGAAGTCTCTTCCATGCTCACAGCAGGGTGGGCAGTTTCTATCTCCCGTGGATCCCGTTGTTAGGAAGTCTTCCTGTAACAGGTCAGAATCGCCACAATGTAACTCTGCTTTTCCAGTGGAGTCACTGACTTGCCCACACCCGTTTTACCGGGCGGCATCTTTCTGCTGCAGTTTCTAAAACAGGTTCTGATCTTCCTCGCCTCCGTGCTTTGCTTATGCTGATCCCTTGGCCCACAATGTCTTTCCTGCCCTCCTTCCTTTCTCATTCCCATTGATCTTTGCCTTGCTTTCCTGTCCCTCCCCATCGTGAATGGTCTTTTTCCAGTGGCATTTGTCAGCTCTGTCTTTCTGTGGGATCACGGCCATCTGAGGTCTTACGTTCTGTTGGCTGTGGGGAGCGAGGTATTACTCACACTGGTCTTTGTGTTCAAGTTCAAGCTTGACCAGACCGCCCGGGGTTCGCATGCTGGTTTCACCTCTTATTAATCATGTCACCTTGGGAGACGTTCTCTTTGTGCTTCGAGTTTCTCACCTGCAAAAGTGGGATGGAAACAGTCACTACCCGCTAGTGTGGCAATGCGGAAATGAAATCGTGTGTGTGAATCCCTTAACAGAATGCGCAGGCCACGGTAAGCATTTCAGAAATGTAGCTCTTATTGCTATTCCTCTTTATGCAGGACACATGTTGTAACTAGATGTTGACCTGGCTTATGTTTGGAAGTGGTTATTGTTGTTTTTCAGGGGCTAGAAGCAGAGGGGCAGCCCAGGAGTTGATGCATGATCCAGACCTGGGGTCAGGAAGGTCTGAGTGAGGAAGGGGGAGGGCAGATTCCGTCATCACACGGCTGATTCTCACATTTGCCCAGCCTGCAAGGCTCCCAGACACATGTGTTTTCCTGGCATCCTCCTGCCCAGGTCTGGCCGTGTCTCCAGGACAGCAAACTGCTCTGGGCACTGCACACCTTGCTCTTTGGTCGGGCTGGAATCACCTCTCCCTTTAAACCCAGGGGCCAAATGTTTAACTGCTGGAGCCAGGCCAGGTCACAGGTGTCAGCAGGCAGCCCAGGGCCTTGCACAGGGGAGGTGCTTGAGGGCTTTTCTTTTTGAGGCATTAATAGGTACCCACTGGCAGAAGAGTTCTGATTTAGGAGAGAACAAGAGACTGGCATAGCTGAAGTTTCCTCGGGCTGGGGGTCCAGGGACTGGGCTCCAGTCACAGCCGTGGCAGATGTATAATGATAATTATTATTATAACTGACACGGAGTAGTTGCTATGGGATGCTAAGTCTTTCACTGGCATTATTCTGTTTAATCTTTGCAGTGTAACTGGATAGGTGACTACTTTTATCTTCATGTACGTAAGGAAACTGCGGCTTACTTGGCTATGCTTCCCCAGCAGGTTAGCAGAGCTGGCCTTTGAATTCAGGTCCACTTGACTTGAGGCTGAGACCTCTCAGTTGTGACACCCATGAGAACCTCACAGAACACCCGGGGACAGGCTTCCCCCTCTGTAAAAGGAGGGGCTATACTTGATGAGTTTGGGGTAATACGAAATGGTACCCCCCGCATGTGCTTAGCTGCTGAGTGGGCCTCTCTGTCACCCTGCACCAGGCTGCCAAAGGGTTTCCAGGTGCAGCGAATCTGATAGGCACCTCAGCCGAGGCAAGGAAAAAAGACAGCTATTTTGAAACGTTTTCAAAACGATTTCCTTCAAACACAAATCAGGTGATTGTATGACTAAGTGTCAGTGGGTTCCTGGGAGGTTAGGGGGTCCCTGAGAGAGAGGGGGGCTCTTCTGGGATGCCAGGATCATTTATGTTTTCTCTTCCTCATCTGTTTGCACACTGAGTCAGCCTGTGTTCCTTTACCAGGCCCGTGGAGTGTCCTCCTGCTGAATTACATTCAGTGCCCAGAGCACTTGAGGTAGTCAGGTGGCAACAACTCACTCCAAGCCCTCAAGGATGGTTTCCCAGGGGCGGGCCATAATTACTAATTAACAAGTAAATCTGATCCCAAGAAGGAAAGCTGGGCAGTCATTTGCCGCTGAAATCCACTAACTGAACACAGTACCCAGTTACCAGGGCGGAGGCTACCGTTTGCGGACTGTGCGCCTCTGCTGTTATTGCCTGGTCGTCCTTCAGAGAGAGCGGGAGTGGTGGGCAGTGATGAGGTATGTTTGCAAACCGTGCTCACTGTGTGTGCAAATGTGTGTGCAAGTGTGTGCAAGTGTGTGCGCACTCGCGCTGATCTTTAGTCCACATGTCCTTGTTAATTTGCTAAACACAGACAAAAATAAACACCAAGTCATAAAATTACACACACACACACACACACACACACACACACGTAAAACAAAATTCAACTCACTCATCTCTTTTCTTGCAGGGTGTATGTGTGCACGTGTGTGTGCTCACTTGTATGTGTGTGTTGCTCTGGACCAAGGCTGGAGCTACAGGCCCTGTTTTAGCTAACTGTGTGGTGTGTGTGTGTATTTGTGTGTGGTGTGGGAAAAGGTTTAATATTCGGGGCTGGCAGCTGGTAGAAACTCCTCCTGATCGGGAAGATGAGGTGGGGGAAGTGAGGGAAAACAGTAAAACTGTGAGCGTTCTATAGATTAGAGCATTTGGGGACGTTCCTTAGAAAAGGATGCCGAGTTGTGATTGAGGAGTGGGAATGAGAGAAGTCATCATAGCCAGGAAGGTGAGAAATCGATACGATTCCTGTGACTTTTGTGCCTTTATTGATCAAATAAAGGGTTCCTCTAGGAAGAGCCGGAGGGCGTGCGTGTGAAGCTGGGATGTGCGCCCTCGCGGTGTGCGGTGCGCCGTGGGGAACGTGACGATTTCACGTGGAAGGAGGTGTGACGGGGAAGGGCAGTGTCTGGACTGGTAGGTGCATAAAGTAGAACAGCAGCTGAGGGGAAGGGGGGAGGCAACCGGTTATTGCTGGTCCCTCTCTGATAAAACTGAACGTTAGTTGTCAGAGTCTAGCTAGACATGTGGGCACTTTGAAATGGCCACTGAGGTGGGAAGGAAGAGTTACGCTTGGGGAAAGGGAGAGAGGCCAAGGTCAAAGGCATGGGATTCACTAGAATAGGCTCCCAGGGGGGTTGCTGATATAGGATCTGAACCAAAGGGACCTCCTGGTCTCCAAACTTTCTGGTGTCTGGGTCAGTAAGTGTGTGTGTGTGTGTGTGTGTGTGTGTGTGTGGTGGTCAGGGAGGGAGGGAGAGGGCGGGGCCTTCGGTTGGTTGTGCTGGGTCAGGCCAAGGTGCTATCAGATACCCAGTGAGACGGAAGGGCATTCTGTCCTGTACTTTGAAGACAGCTCATCATTACTTCACTCACACTCAAACACAAGATGCCAGTGGTTTTTCTTGTTTTCTTGTTTTTTTTTTTACTGGCATTCT